TCGAGAGGATGTCTTTCAGTAATTTCCATGACACTCATAGAATTTTATTCTTTTAGCTGTACCTCATACTTTACTTTTTTATCAAGAGAACAAGATGAAGGTAGTTTTACAGGAAATGTGCAGTAGTTACTTTGGGTAGGGCTGAAATCTAGACAAAGTCTAAGAATAACAGTGAAGGGCTTGGCTTTATTCTAATAGAAATTCTAAGTGTTATAAAATTACACATACACATAATATTATAGAAATCATAAATGAATACAGCACCAGCAAATTATTACCAAAAAAGCATTTTAGAATACATTAAAGACGTTAATTGATACTGAAGATTTTCAAGACCTACATAGCTCTGGAATTCAAGGGATTACAAAGCAATTAATATACAAATGTAGCAGCCACGTCCAGGGAGTAAAAGACTATGGCAGTAGTTTTTAATATAAAGTGATGGCAGTTTTGCCAAAGAAATATTTTGGCCAGCAGTTTTCAGTATGGATCTCTTTTTAATTCGTTATTGAAATCTTCATTGTATATAAATATTCTTGAAGAGATAATAAGCCCTTATTTAAATATTACCAAGAACTCCAGCACTTAAATACATTGACTTAATAATTGTAATATTAGAATCCTGTCACTCCAGTCAGCAACATTCAGGTTATAAAAATATGTTAACAGAAGGGGAAAATAATTAATTTTAATGTTTCTATTAACAATGAATGTTTAACGTAATAAATGAAAAACTAATAATGAGATTCCCGCATGCTCTGTAGATATTCTAAATGCAAAGCAGAACAATTATTTATTCAGTAAATCTATCCAATTATTTTCTCACCTAACACAGTCCTCTAGGCTTGTGTGCAATTAATAAGAAGATAAAGAGATCTTAATTTCATCTAATTTAAAAACCTGTTTGATAAACAGGATTAATCCCATCTCTCCATGACCTACAAAGTTTAAGACAGATGACTAAAATCAGATAACATTCAGCTCTAAGTGAATTTAAAAAAAATGTACCACAATTATGAAGAACAAAGAAAATAGGGATAAAAAGAGATTCAAATTATAAAGATTATGGAGAGACTAAAATTAAGTCTCCAAAATGTATATGCATCTTGTAGCTGACTGGAAGGAAAAGTAGTAAATCAGTAAATACAAATACACAGAGAACTTTTTGCGTACTTCTCTTAACCTGTGTAGCATAGACAAAGGTTATAAATGTAAATGACCTTTATTCTATTTTGCTTTTTATTTGAGAAAGGCATTTCTAAATAGAAACACTAGAAATACTCCTAAAGGTATTTTTACCTGCAGCAGATCATCCACTACAAATCTCATAATTTTAAATAGCTATGTACACCAATCCAGAAATGTTTAAATAATAATAATCCAAAATACTTTGAAATCTTTATAGAACAAACCTAAGGGTCTAAACCATTTTTGTAGTCATCATCTTAACTTAACAGAACTCCAAAAACCTTGTATAAAAATGTCCTTTCATCATCTGTGCACATTCAAATAAGAGAAAAAGTACGTACTTAAAAATATCCTATTACCTCATGGACAGAGATAGGAATTTAAACCTCCCATTAGCTTTTACCAAGACCAAGGGTTTTTTATGAATAGTGTCCACTGCAAAGTTGAAGGAACAGCATTGCCACAATACAGTTTTCTTGAAGTCTTCTTCTGTTTACTGCATACCTATTTTGTTTCTCTTCATTACTTTACACTTCTCACTTTATCATCACAAAGACAGGAAAAGAAAAATCACCTTGAGTACATCACATGAGTGGCAATCAGCTATAACAGAGCACAGATTTTTTTGTCACTAAGAAAAATAAGACTTTGTAAAATCACACTAACTATGAATTTCCCTTGTGTTCCCAGTAATTCTAGAATTTTCAAACCAGTTCCCACTGATAGAGCTGAGTCCTGGAAAAAGACATTTTACTCCTTTAAAGGAAGTTTAAGGAAGTCAACAACCAAAGACAAGAGATGGTTCTTGTAGATGTCCTCTGAGGTGAAGTGCTCTACTGTGAGTTCACCCCATTTTTGACCTTAGACTCCACTTTGACCAAAGGAACCATTTCAGTTTGATGCTGTACCTTTCACAAAACTAGAAAATTTAAACATCAGGAAAAAACCTGATATAAAACCACGATGCATTCATTCAACTATTTGTTGTTTTTGTTGGTGGTGTTTTGGTGTTTTTGGCAAGGAGAAGTAACAGATTAACAGTCAATAGTTTCAAAATAACACTCCAGGAATATTCAAGAGAAGGAAAAGTTGGAACATATCTAGCATCTACACTTAACTATGTCATAGATGATGGAGCTATTACAGAATTGCTCTCCTTGTTCAACCCCCAGACACTTTAAATCACAGTAATACAGCTTGAAAATTAGAAAAAAGTCCACCAATAGTTTAAAACAAAGCGAAAATGTTTCCATTTGGTCCTAGTTTTTTAGAACATGCGTGACATTGACAACAGTTTAATCTAAAATATCAAATAATTTTTTTTCATTGTCATGGGTAAATGAAACATGGTTTCTCACACAGAACTTACAGCTGTATAATAGCAAAGTGAACCACAAAACTTACATCCTGATATCACCGTGATCTACTTTGAGGTTGAAACAGCAGATCCTTTCTCAGTGTAAATCTTTCATGAATATTATCACTTTGGTATTTTCTTGGCATTTGTAAAGAGCTGTTCACAGAAAGCTATCACAAACATCAGTAAGAAAAATGAAAATAACTGCACTTGACTAGAAAATTGGGTATTAGTTACACTTCTGATCACAAGATTTGCCAGGGGCTTTATTTAACAACCATTCAGGCCAGTCAACATTCCACATATTTCTGAAGCTTTCAAACATGTTTGTTTATATAGATTATGATACCAGTGGTAACTACGATGAGTCATCTTGTTTTCACTAACGTAGAACAAGCTGTTATAATCACTTAAATATAGAACTGGACAATACAGGTACTTCTTTTTAATCTTAGGGGTTTCTGCTGATATCACAAAATTTCTTTGCTCCACAGAACTGTCACATGTCAGTTCACAGTGAATTCAGAATCTGGGATCTTAAATTAAGGTATTTATACCATCTCAACATGCCAGTTAGTTACTTTGTAGATCATTTAGGTAGTTGATTTGGAATGTGGAGAAAGTCCCAGTCTTAACATCTGTAGTGTGGTTAGAAGTGAGGTAGCTTTAAAGAGAGACACCTACATTTTAAAGAAGCATAGTATGGGTTTTCCATTTTCCCAAGCAGAAAAACATGCTCTTCTGAGCAACAATCTACTTCTTAGAACTCCAAAACCCCATATTAATCAACTTTTGAATTTATTTAAGATGAGGAAAGGAGATTTTTACTTAATTGGAGGGTTTATCACTGGAAAAAGCTACAGGAGCCCAGAAGCATAAGTGTATCGAAAAAGGTTCTTATGTTTCTGATTGCAGGGAAACTTCCCTCCTCAAAATCAAGCAATGATATGAAAAAATACAATATATTATACAAGTGGAAATACAGCAGAAAAGTATTTTGTCCATGGTTCTTAAGTTTGAAAATAAATATAGAATTGAAAGCTGGTATTTTCATTAAATAGAAGTGCATATTCAAATTATCATACAACAGACCTATTTTCCAGAAGAGTTTCCAGTTATATATGAACTCCTCACGTGTCTTAGTAAATCTTACCACAGTGAAAGGTAGGAGTCTCATCAGAAAGAAATGCAGGTTGACTCACATTAGCATTTTATTTTGACTCTGGTAGTTTGGAACCGAGGTTCCTGGTTGTCCTCACTTAACTGGCTTTGATTTCCACATTTGTATTGTGGAGCCATCATCTCAGAGTCTGCAAACTGAATTCCTTTTTGAGAATCCAAGAACACCCACAATGCACTCTAACCACTAACAGGCATTCCACACCCTTGGGCCCATTCAGCCTGAACTAGAATTAATCTGAAGTCAAATCCCTGAAATCCAATGTGGATATAAAGTCTTCTGACCCCTTCTGCTTACTCTAGAACTACTTGTGTTGTTTCACTAGTTAGTAATGACATTTTTTCAGTCCTTAGGCAATGCTATTTCTTCAGTAGTAACACCAGTGCAATTTAGGAGTTATACATAAAAATTAAAAGCTTTAATAAATTCATGCCTATGCTTAAGTTAATGACATTTTAAAAAGTATTTCGAGAAAAAAAAGGTTAATTTAGTACTTTCTTCAACAACTTCACAGTTGGTTAATAAACCAATCTCTTCATATTAGAAAAAACGTATTTAGGTTAAACAATGAATTAAATCCAATATTAAGGACACATGACAAACTTAGCCTAAACAACTTTGATTACTGTCCATAGTTTTCCATTTCCTCATAACTTACCACAGCTAATACACTAAATTTACAAAAAGCAAGGAAAAAGTGTTGAAGAACAGGAAAGTAAGACTGCTTGTAAACAGTGCAGAAAATCAACCACAGTTTCTTTCTCCATATGAATAGACTTGTACGTTTTTAAAGACAATATATTTTATACATGGAACATGAAAGGGGCAGCAGTAAAAAAATAAGCATGTAGCAAGCTTAATTGCTCATAGCTACTGCTCCCTATCCACACTTTATAAAAACTATTACTTGAAGTCATCATATAAAATGATTTTCTACTTTCAACTAAAGCAAAAGAAACCACAACAGAACAGGTTCACACTTTGAGCACTGCTACTGCACAGTATGAAATCCACATTTTTGCTATAAGATGAAAAATTATGTTTGCTTGTCTTTACAGGAGTGTAGGAGAAGAATCAAACTTTCATATTATTGCTGCACTGGTAATGGGAAAATTTTACTACAAGAGTTAAACCTGTAACATAAATTAAACAAAATCTTTGTAATTAAATTTGTTCTTTATAAGCAGAAAGCCAGTACTTCCTCCTATCTAAAACTCCTAGATATAAACATAGTTACACCTTTAGATTTATTATATGCATTTTAAAGACACTTACTGTTCCAAGAGTTGATTGTACTTTCTTAAAGCATCCTTCTCAGCAATAACTGCTCTTTCTTTTTCAGCAACAGCATTATCTCTTGCTTCTCTCAAATTTCTGAAGGAAACAAAAGTTATTCTGTTAAGAACCAGTTAGGAAAAAAGACTGTTTTGCTTAATTAATTCCTACAGCTTGATCTGAATTTCAATACTACCACCTTCAACTCTCACAGAATAGTAGAAGGGTCTGTCTATCTATATGTCTACTTATTACAGAGGCTTTACTTGAGCTTACTTTCATATATACCACCAAAGCTTCCAGCTCTGAAATTCTAAAAACCAATGATCAAACTACCTATTTATACATAGAAACATATAATCCAAATTATTCTAGAATACTAGAACTATAAAATATTTTTTTTTCAGGAATTAAATAAATTGCAATAATTTTGCTTGGTACTTCACTAATAACTACAGGAATGCTGTCCACCTAGCTGAGATGATTCACAACTTTTATGACAGAGCAAGAAAAGATTAGCTGGGCATAGAAATCCTACTTCCACTTACAACTAATTGTCTAGTTACTCTGATATATAGGTTATTGCGTATCATTGATGTCTCCTGGGTTCTAACAAATATTTTATTACAATCCATTGATATTTTTTCTTCTTTTTTTTAAACCAAGGATCAGTCAAGAAGTGCAAGCCACCTCTATTATTCCACTGATGTGAATGAGAATAGCATGATATGAAGAATAATACTGATAGTATTTATGTTAAAACATTTTACAGTTATTAATAGTCTGTTATGCTACAAGCAGACTACAGGTTAACACTGCAATAAACTGTATCTATTGCTTAGATAGTGTTTATAAGTTATATGTCCAGTATTTAGTGCAACAGAGCACCAGCCAATTTTCAGAGCTGAGTGGTTGCTGAGGACCAGACACCTACGTTATGACTGGTTTTGAGGGTTTTACTTTACTCCTGGTTTGCTTCTGTGACCTGAACATTCACTAGCATTTGGAATATACTAGATGATCTTAAAGATTCCTTTCAATTTCGTTTCATCTGAAAGAAATCCTATTCACGTGCTACAAATGTGAGCACATTCAAGCACAAACTGCAAGGCAAGCAAAAACCCTGGCTAACCGCAATGACCAGAGGGTTTCACTTTAACACCACGTTCTTCATCTGAACTAAACTCCTAACGCAGATGCAACAAAGATCTTCCCACGGAAGTTGTTTCTCTCCCCATTCCCCAAAGCAACCTCCTTAAAGCAAAGTGAAGTTATAGGCTCAGGCAAGATTTGAAGAAAATAGAAAAGTCAAGATATAAAGGAAAACAAAGTTATTAAGCCCATGTAAATGTTATCCTAGGTCATTATAGCCACACTAATGGTATATAATTTTTGTTTTGAAGACTATTTTCTAGACTGGCACTTTTCTGAATTCAAAGTAATTCATACAAACAGTTACTTAGAAAAATCAGAATTAGGATTATGTAGCAGCTAACTGGTTATGAGAGGAAAATGAAAATTTTCTTTAAAAATAGAGTTACTGGGCTACAGAATTTAGTGCAGAAACTCAGGGACTGGTCTTGAGATTACATTCTTTAAAACTGACTCTTACCCAAATATGGGAACATGACAATAAATTTTGTTAACAGCATAAAGATCAAGCATATTATATCTCATAGTAGGTGTCAAGTGTTGTATCCTTAAGACTAGAGTGACAGAAGTGGGATAAAGATCAAGTGATAGGAGATAAACAGAGACTCATTTAGAGAATAAACTATTTTGCTTAGCTGAACAGCTAATCAACTGCAAACGCAATAGGAGGAAAAATAAGGACAAAAGTGAGGTACTATTCAACCAACAAGATGACAACTACAGATGTGATGTAACTTCTGTTATAATATTTTAGAGAGCCAAGACGCACATTAACAATGCTGCCAGTTTTCAGATTGTGTGACTGTGGTTTCAGAAGAGGTGAAGTGCCTGTCTGATGGTTGCACAAAGAGGCCGTATGGACCGTCAGGTATCTACCAAGCCTACCACACAAGTGAAAGTACCCTTTTAAAATGGGACAGAAATACTACCTAGAGACTCAAGAATGGGTATGGGGGGAAAAAAAGGTGGGATGACAACAGGGAAGACAGAAGCTCAAGGGCTTCTGTGTTAGCTGTTTAAACAAACCTCTTGGCAACTGCCATTTATTGCACTTCGGTTCATATCCCTAAACTGTTCTAGAATGCACAAACCGGATTCCAGTCAGATTGAACCAAGCCAGAAAACGTGCTCAAGGAGAGCATCTCACATGCTCAAAATGACTAAATTGTGTTTATCTATGGGAACAGACTCCAGCTAATCCAATGCCAAACCCCATGCAGACATTCACATGCCCTATGAATTCACTCATGCTTGCTAATGCAAACATAGCCAGTGCTTACAACAACCAAACAAGTGAAACTGATGCCAAACAAATTAGGAATGAAAGCATCACCTTTTTATTGGTGCCCCCCCTTCCATTTTAGTTTCTTGAAGACTCATCCAAGTGTAAAATAAGCACCAATAAATTCAAGGGAAGTATCAGACTCATCAGGCTTGGCAAAGTGGTAAAGAATAAAAGCAACTGAATATTAGATTAGCTTAGATGTAATACCATTCCATTCTTTGAGCTAGAGGATGAAACCAGCATCTTTATTTTCAGACATAATCAGCGTCTCAGCACATCATATAAATTCACTGCCAATTGCCTTGCTAGCAATTTGGGTTTCCCTTTGTCTTGCCATTGAGGCAGATTGTCTTATGGTGGATTTCTTTTGTATTTTATAGAAAGAGCATATGATAAAAAGCCTTTTTGTTTCTGTAAAACATGAAGGCAAATCTAAAGGATTTACATTTCCGAAGTAATTGTTTCAAAATGAGGAACAAAACTGTAAATCAGTTCCAGATAGAAATGAAACATCTTTCAGTAGCTTTCTCAATGATATACAGACCCTTGTCAAATCTCCACAAACAGTGCATGTTTAAATTTCTACTTCGTAATTCAAAAGAGATTGGCATACAGGAAGTGGTGTAGATGTGTATGTATGAGTATATATTTTACTCACACTTGCAAAACTACACCATGATGTAACTTTTTTTTAATTAGAACATTTCTGTTGAACTGAAGACAGACAGCAGAAGTCATGTTCTTTTTTTCCACTCTTCCCAGCAGTAACAAAACTACCTATCAGAGGAACAGATGCTTATGCCATAAATATCTTTTTACTACCATCAATTCCTTCTCCACACGACACTTTCAGGACATGTACAATGAAGTTATAATTAATTATTAAACAATCCTCCCATTTTAAAGGAATAAACCAGCCAAAACACAAGCTAAAAAAGAAATCCAGTGCCAAGGTCCAAATCCCTAGATCCCTAAAGTATTACATGTAACTGTGGTATTCAACCAGTCGACACACACATAAAATTCAATATGCAGGTCTTTGCAGGACTAGAATTTTCTTCAAAAGAGAATTTTATAGTAATTGACATGAAATCCATGCTTTTTTTTTTTTTGAATCGTCATGCTGTAAACAATCTCAATTAGATTTATTTTATAAAGGCATAAGTCTTATTGGTTTCCCTCGGTTTTTTTCTGCCTTATTTCCTGCATCAGCACCACTTCTTCCGGATTCTTGGCACAGCTTCAAGACTGTCCATATAAGCATGACAGGTAAACTAATGCATTCTGTATTAATTAACTAACATTATGTATCTGAACAAACTTCAAACCAATGTTTATCTAGAACATGAATTTTAATAATCCTTTTCAACTGATAATTTTGGATGACCATCACTTGATAATAAATATAACACCACGTATTTACTTTATAAGTATAAATTCATTTCAGTGTTTAAAAGATTCTCATCAGTTTTACAAATGACCTTAAGTTGTTAGATTTTGAACACCTCTCAGAGAGTCAGTCAATTAGGATTATAACTAAGCACAAAACAGTGCTTGGTCATTTCTGCTCTGATTAGGTTATTGCCTACATCTTATTTACCTGTTTTCACGTTCATACATCTCTTTTGAAGTGCTTCTTAGTTGCTCAATTTCTTGGTTTGTTTTCAACCTTATTTGCTCCAACTCTTCATGCAGTCTCTTTTCATATTCTGTTTTATAGTGATCTCTGTAAATAAACAAATACATTGCACTGGTCAAAATATCAAAATCTCAGGTACAGCTCTACAACTAGAGCAGAGGCCTTCTTGATTTTACATTTTATTTCAATCCTTATTCATTTACCTCTCAAATTACCCGAAATACATATCAGCCTATACTGTTACACAAATTAAATGAAAATCAATCAGGAATAAATAATATTTAACTGGGAATAAATAAAAGCTTTCTGCATACTGCTTTAAATTTTTAAAGTAATTTGATATTGATTAATCGCATAACATTAAGCTTAACATTCTTCCAGAAATTCTTTGTCAGTCTTTAAGTGCTTATATTACTTCACTACTTAAAAACCCCCAAACCCTCACTTTCCTCTTCCTTATTAGATATGGATTGATTAAACTTACTGACTTGCAATACTGCCACGCTACTACAAGACTTCTTTGACTACTATTTGCACCTCATATGGGGGAAAAAACATTACAAGAAACATTGAAGATTACATGCAGAGATTTGTGAAGTCAAAAACGCCCATGATTCGGGAATTTATACTGTTAATGTGGCGTGTAAATTATTTAAAATACATAAGAAAATTTTAAAGCAACAGATATCAGAGGATACCAGGATACCAATTTCAGAGAAATATTGACTTATTTTGTAACTTTGGAAACATGACAGATTGTAGGGAATCCCACAAAGAATCTCTCCTACAAAACTACAAAAAAAGGTTTATGTTGTAAGTATTTAACAGCTAAGGAATGTCAAAATTTTATAGCATCTAATTAATTTCAAGAATAATCAATCAGCAATGAAGCAACTGATAGAAATTACAGGTTTGGAAAAAAAAGTATATTATGAAGAAATGTGCATTTACAACCATAAAAGGTCTTAGATTTCTTCTGATTTCCAATTGTGTGACAGTCCACAGTTTTCAGAAATCTGTACTTGAGCTAGCCAAAAACTCCTTCACATTAACCAAAAGCCCCAAAACATTGAAATGTCAGAAAGCTTGCTGTCAGGTTTTCCTGTTTTCTTCTTATTGAGACCCTGAATTTCAGCTCACCCTTCAAGGTAAAAGTAAATTTTTCTCCTCTCCTTCCTCAATTGTGCTGCACTACAGCAAATAACATATGAAGATCTTGGACACAATTAAGAGGTTTACCAGGAAAAAAAAAGAACCAAACCAAAACTGAAGCAAAAAACATGCTGTATTGGAATGCAAGGGTCCCCCCATTAGAAACTTTGTGTTCTTTATGTGTTATATGGCTCAATATGAAGAAAAAAGCGAAGAAAAGAATGTTGACCATCAGAACATAAGGATACAATTCTTATGTGCAGGATCAATGAGCATTACCATTTTCTTGATACTTAGACAATTTGCTTTTACCACTACACTACTTGCCAAAAAAAATTTCTGACATTGCAGAAATTACACCTTCCCTCCCATGGCAAGACAGCTAAAAGTCAGGGAGGTTCACTGAAAAAATTAGAAGTATCTGGAAAAGTCATGAACATCCACAGTGATGTCACCATAAGACAGTTCAAAGTGATGCTTATCTTTATGAGGACTAAAATAAACCCATAGTATAGTAAAGAGCATGTTCTGGTTACATAGCTTGACTGCCCTGTCAATGCATTTAAATAAACATCAAATGAGTTGCTGCCTAAGCAAAGGATCATCATTAAGAATAAGAGAATCATGACAGAATGATTTGGATTGAAATGGACCCTAAAGATCATCTAGTTCCAAGCCCCATGTCATGGGCAGGGACACCTTTTACTGGACCAACCTGGCCTTGAACACCTCCAGGGATGGGGCATCCACAACCTCTCTGGGAAGCCTGTTTCAGTGCCTCACTACGCTCACAATGAAAAATTTCTTCCTAATATCTAATCTAAACCTACTGTCAGTTTGAAGTCATTCTCCCTTGTCCTATCACTACATGCCCTTGCAAAAAGTCCCTTTCTAATTTTTATTCCTGACCTGTTGTTACAGTCTTTAGAAATGGTTTGCCTCATCAAGTTGTTGTGTCTTCTGGAGGTTGCAGACTTTTAATGAGCTTCTTTCCAGGGCTATTATTAATAAGGATTTATATTGTGAATAAACTAAACATGATCTGAGTATTGCAATGCAAATATGAACCGTGTTTTAAGATTACACATATAAAGGGAAATAATTTTTGTCGGTCTGTGCTTACATATAGATTCCTAAGAACTGTAACTATAAGCTGCAGGTGATTTGTCATGCCACAATCTCAACCTATTTCAAAATATGTCTCTTTAAAAATTTGGCAGGTTAATGCCTCACATTTCCTGAAGTCTGTAATTTTCTAATTGCAGTACCCCAATGCTGGCAGTTCTGACAAAAACCAGAAGGTGACTTACTCTTTATTTCTGAAAATAGATACCTGGGTTTGTTTTATTCATCTTCATTCCTGAATTACAGCAGCTCAAAGACATCCAGATGTGAAGAAAGCATTAAAAAGCTTCAGATTCTTCAAAATGTAGCAAATAGAAGTTTATTACCCAAACTGGTGTCACCTCCAGAAACCACTGAGGACTGTAGAATATCCATTAGCTGGTATATTTTTTTCTTGTCTACTTTTGTACCTCTCTAATTTATTTGTCAAATAAATAGGATTCTAGAGGAAGACTGCTCAGATGTACATGACTTCTTAAAACACCATTTAAAAGTATAACTTAAAAATTTATTTAAAATGTAGAAGTTCCATGTGAACATAGTTCTGAGACATAAACAAGTAAAACAAATTAAAAAGCTTGAAGTGACCGCATTGAAAGGAAAAATAGTATTTAAAACAGTTCTGATATGGGCTAGAACTCGTAGCTGATCATTTCAATCCAGTGGCCTTCTTTCCCTTAAATAACACTTCGTATTTTAGCTGTATTACAGGAGAGTCAAATTAGCACACTGCATCTTAGTTATACAAGGACACGAGATTTATAGATACTATTTTCAGTTCCATCTTCTTGATTCAAACACAAGGAAGAGGCTGAGGAGGAGATGAACCTACCTCATACTCTTAGCTTAATCATTCAATCCACAGGCGTCCTTTTAAGGACATTACTAACCAAAAAATAGGTTTATTTTCATTAATGCAGTGCATATAGGCAAACATTTGATGTAATTTTGGGATATACATTGAAACAATATCTTTTGGCACCTAGCTGTAGGGAAATAACATGAACTAGATAACCTTGAATTGGATGACCTCTTAGTCATACGATTTAGTATTGGTAGTCCTGCAAGGAGCAGAGAGATTCAGCATTCCCTGAATTATGGGTCCCTTCCAACTATGATTCTATGAAATTTTGTAGTACAGCATTACATATGTAGCAAGACATGTAGCTGAGTAATGTTTCCTGTTCGACATCCCATCCCATCTCTGCGCAAAGAGCATAGAGATTTGATGCTATTCAGCAGTGGCTAGCGTACAATGATAGATCTATTTCCCAAGGCTACACTTAGGGAATCTGTATTCAAGCTCAAGATATGAAAGACTGATAGCTCTAGTAGTTGATACAAAACATACTATATTTAACATTTGTGACAACTGTATATTTTATTCTGCAATAATAATTTAGATTGTCTATCAAATACTCCTGCTTTTAATAAAGGTAATTTGTGGTGGTGGGAGGTCAAATATGTAACATATGCACTTCAAAGAGTTTTAGTCTCTTTTGTAATTAACTACAGTTACCTTTCTAAATTTCTGTGTAAACCTACGAGATTAATTGACATAAACTTTCAATGCTGACATCTTCACTACTATGGTCTTATATCAAAGGTTTAAAAAAATTTTCCTGATACATATTAAGACCCAAGAAAACTGTTTCTGCTTCTAGTTAAATATATATGGACTCGCTTTCTGAAAAATAAAATTAATGAAACAGGATTTGTGCAAGAAACAAGGGAAAACAATTAAATAACTTGTCTACAGATAAAAGTGAACACACAATAACTTGCCTGGATGTAACATATTTTTCATACATTTCTTCCCTAGCTTTTTTGGCATCCTCTAGCTGAATCTGAAGTCTTTCAAGACGATCTTCTTCATGTGCACAGCGAACACTAAGCTCCATGTTCTGGCGATTAAGATAATCTTTATCTTTTTGCAACAAGTTGAGGGATTGTTGTATGGTTGCCAGCTATAAAAGGTATTAAAAAGAACACTTTAACATGAACTTCAAGGTAAGTATTTAACCTATGTACACATATTTGCAATTTCATTTTAACTCTCTTCTGTGAGAAAAATATAACTGTGCTCTCTCTCCAAGTAACAGGTTATATATATATATATATAAACACAGTGAACAGACATCCTGGATTACTGCACGAAGAAAGAAAGCAGTTACTGCTCCTATAATTAGTCCCCCCCTGGAACAAATACTCTGTCAAACACTTACAATTGGATGTTCCTCCAATACAGGACTTGTGATGCTACATCAGTATACACAAAAACCAGCAGGACCTTCCAGGAGATTAGTGCTACTTTTATTCACTCTCATATTAATTTAGTATGAAGTTAATCAAAAAAGCCATTGTTTTTGCTATACTACAGTATTTGATGCGTACATACAAACTTGATGTACACAACAATACTTTTTTGGCCACTGTTATATGGAGAGGACAAACTTGCCTTTTGATGTCCTCTAACAGTGATAGAACGCTGAGGAATAAACAGCCTAACGAAGCCTTCAGATTGATATGAAAGAGCAGAATATAAAAGGTATTTTCTAGTAGAAACTCATTTTTTCCCTAATGTTTCTGACAATCTCTACGTCTACCTGTAAAATTAGGCAGAGCAGTAGCATCTTTGAAGTGGAAATTATAGCCACTATTTTATATGTAATATTGTTATACAGAGACACTAAGGAATGCAATCTCTCCTGGATACTTTCAGGAGGAATCTGTTACATGTACTCAGCTGCTAAAGTGTTAACACACAAAAATCCTCCATATTATTCTTCCCTGAACCAGTGCAGAAGACAAGAACAACCTTCTCATGCAGTGCCTTTCAAATGATATTAAAAAATAAATTCATAAATTATTTCAGAACAGTTAATCCATTATTTCCTCTATTTCTTTTGGTGTTTCCTGGAATAATTTCTGTACAAAATCACAGCTTAAAAACAGTCTTACTTTTGCATTCAAGTTGCACTGAGCTACAAACCATCTGATAATCAGTCAATGATGATATAAACTGAAAAGGTTTCTTTTTTTCTTGGAATTCAGTAAAAGTCTATTCTCCCTCCTGAAAAGCTGTTGCGAAGTTACACCTACAAGACAGGAAGGGGGAAATCCCTTAGCAATGCTAATAGTTCTGGATGATTCTATCCTAATTAGCTTACTTAAGGTGAAAAATTCATCCTGGAGGTTCAGTGAGGCAATCCTCCCTATGAACAATTTGATGCAGAAATAGTGAAAGTGCATACTGAGTAATGGAAGCTTGTACTGGTATAAATCATCTCAAATCCTATAGATCAAGGCAGTGAACTTGGAAACATTCTCTACATATGTTTCTTTTTGAGTCCCTTGACCCAAAAGTTATCATACATGTCCATCACTGCACACAATTTGTGACTCTTGGATGAATGAATTATTGAATGGAGAAGCAGCAAGGGGCATTTCTTTGGATCTAACAGGCCTCTGCCTCTTGGAATGTCCTTGGAGAAGCAGAAACGTATTCTCCTGTGCAAAACTAGTGTTACCAGAATGGTAATGGCTGAGATTTGAGTAAAATGACTGACCTATCTGGATCACAACTCACTGGAATTCTAACAAAGATAAGAACCCCTCTGCACCTGAAGAGGCATTTATTCTCTGGCAGAGACCAGAAGAGCTCTACCAAGATAGTCGTGGACTGCAGCACACGATGCAAAAGGGGTTGAGAGAAATGTTTGGAGCTTTTTTCAGCCTTTAGAAGAGAAATCTGGTCAAGGAAAATCCTATTGTTATCTTCACTTATCCAAGTGGAATGCATAGAAAAATCCAGACTCTTGGCAGTACATAGTGACAGGACAAGATGCAACAGAAAAAAGCTGCAACAACTCTGATTAGCTTTTACGAAAATATTTGCACAAAGAAGGCAAACAAATACTGGAACAGACTGTCCAAACGGCTGTGCAATCTCCATCTTTGGAGATACTAAAAACTTGACAAAGCCTTTGTGGTGGGGGGAAACAGTTTTTCCCCCTGCAGTTATAAAATGGTAAAACCCCAGGGGGTGGTGACCCTTGGAGTTTTGAAGTTTTACCCAATGAGCGCTTCCGTGAAATATAAACATACCACACTCAGAATGGAAGAAAAGGTAGTTGTAGTTTGGTGGTAGAAGAAGTAGCCATGTTGTGAAAGCCATGAGGAGTGAGGGCAGGAGCCCCCTGGGGGGCTCTGACCCCCGCCCGCCAGGGCTGGGGCTGCAGGGACTTGGAACAGTGTTAAGCTGGACTATGTATCTGTAGGTATAAGCCGGGGGATGTTTCTCCACGGTGAGCAGCAGCAAGAGATACTGAAAGCAGCGGCAGACCAGCACTGACCGGAGAAACCGTGGCTGAGAGCCAAAAGATAAGAAAGCAGCAAACAGCATGCAACCAAAGAAGACACAGAGTTGTCTGAGAGAGCCAAGAACAAGAGCCAGCAGCAGCAGAGAGAGCAGAACTAGCTCTACAGAGACAGAGTTGGGGTAAGAACTGAAACCAAAAAAACCCCCCAAACTCCTTGGAGACCCCTCACGTCCTAGAAGGGAGGGGTGAAGTGCAGGATGCACTACAGAGAGGAGCTGGAAAGCTCTGAGAAGAATGCAGAGGGTGACCTTGGCCCCCCCCGCTGCTTGAGACAGTACAGGAGCTCTGGTAGAACTCTTGAGGCAAAGGTTTTCAACTGAAAGCTGCCCGAGATGTTCTGATTCAGGGGTGAATCCCCTGAGGAAGGGACCTTCATGGGGATCTTACACCCCATGATATGACCGTGGTGAAGCGAGTTTTGTCCCTGCTATGCAGTCCACGGAAGAGAAGACCCTCGCTTGAAGACGATGGGCCACGAGGGCTTGGATACCCCTCATGAGTACTGGCAGAGATCCAGTCACAGCTGCTGCATGCATGAGAAGAAGAAAGCCTGCTGCCTTAGAGATATTGCTGCTCTGAAAGTGGAAAAGGGATCTTTCCTTCTTCCCTCCTGGACTTTTATTTGGAGGGGAGAAGAGATTTGATCCATTGTAAATACTTACGTAATGGTAGAGATAGATAAGATTGTATATAATGTATTTATTTGTACAGTCATTGTAATATATATTCCCTTTCCCCCATTTTGAGTCTCATGTGGTTGTCTGGAAAACCCATCTCACATTGGGTTGAGATGTGAGAGGGGGCTTGGACTAGGGAATTAGATTTTTGGGGCTCTCAAACCATGACAGCCTTAAGCAACCTGACCTAATCTTTTTCTGCATTGCATGGGAAGGTTGGAGCAGTTGGTCTCCTGAGGACCATTCTAATTAAATTATTCCACGATCCTGACAGACTTGATTAGACAAAGAATCAAATTCCTGAGGTAAAGGAATTCTTAGTAAAGGTAAGAACTTTATATTTACCTCTTTTGCTAAGTCATTTCTTTCTTTAGCTTGTGCTTTGTATGACACCTCTAATATTTCATATTTTCTTCTGAGTTCTGATAATTCGTGCTCAAATACATCACGTTCACTGTTAAAACAAAGTGAAACTATTAGATGCATAAAGTGTAATGAACAAGATTCCTGTGCATTTGTAATTTCTCAACCTTATTTCAGTTCGTGACACTGACTTCTTCCATAGGGCAGTTACTGATAATCTTACTTTTTCAGTTGTTAACACCTAGAACAGTACCTTATTATATGAAACAATTTAGGATTATTTAAATACTTAGAAACAAAGAAAGTTCTATTACAATTATCTTCAATTCCCATCCTAAATTATTTCATCCTCCTCTGATTATTCTTCTTTAGTGTAACTTTGGGCTCCCCTCTTAGCAATGAACTGCAAGTACCCTTATCCATAGTTTTAGTTTTACCAAGCTTTTGATGTTATTTTCCATTATATTCTCTTGAATCTTTTGCAGATATTGAAGCCCGATGAAAAAGTGAAGAAAGTTCATTCCCATCTTCCTAATCAAACAGAAAGAAATATATACTTGTACTCAGTTGCTGTTCTCCTTTGTATACAGTCCCTTGATACTAGAGAGGGTTGTACTACTCCTGTTTAAAATATACATGACACAGCTGCAAAAATTATGTTAGTGTCCTGAACAAGAGTGCTTTCCATATGCACAAAGAAGCATCTCTGTGTCTCCACTCTAACCCTGTCAGAACAGGGAAATGAATGAGCCAGTATGAGCTTGCAGTTTGGAAAAAAGCTAACCAAATTTATATTAAGTATAGCATAGCTTTAAAACTGAGATAACTTGTAGGGCAGCAGAACTAGAATATCTGACAGCATTTTTCAAAGGCAGAAACAAACCTGGAAGTGATTAACTCCTGAAGTGTTCCCAAATATCCTCCCTCATACAGTCATGCCAACAGTGCTCTCCCCTCCCCTTCATCTGTGCCTACACAGATGAATGCAACCTACTCTCTCATATATAGTTTTGGCACGTTCATTCATGCTTTTCTCAACTCAAGACTATTTTAAATGCACACTACTAAACACTGGGGCCATTCACAGGAACGTTATTACAATCCACTTATTAAGATGCAGTTGCACATAGGAAGCAAGCCATAGGATCAGTCCATCCTATTTGTAACAAGCTGCCAGGTAGATTCCAAGGTTGTCCTTAGTACATATAGCTGCGAACCAGAAGAGCTGTGAATCCAGAAGACATACTCTCCTTCAAATGACTTAGTGGCAAAGTCATTTTTGTCAGTAACTCTGCCTGAGTTCATTCTGTATGAACAACTAAGGAGCTGGCAGGGTGTTTTCTATTTATAATCCCCATTTTTGAATCCATTTCCCAACAAATGTGCCAAAGGCGATATTTCTTGTACTTGCAAATACACTAAAAAAGCCTTTTGGGAGCTGGACTGAGAAGTATATGTCTATGAGTGTATTTATAAAAAGTCCATTTTCAGTATTTTGCAATTGTTTTTTGCAAGATGGACATTCAAAACCTTGGCTAGAACTATAAGATCTGTATTTTTAAAAAGAAACATGCTGGAGCTTCCTGCAATTAAACCAATCCACTAAGGTAATCCTAAGATTGTCTGACAAAGACTTCTCATAACAGCCCTTTCAAATTTATGACTATAAGAATATCTTAAATTGTAAATATTAATTCCCAAGGTCCTACCCTCTTAATTCACTCTGTAGGTACCACAGAGTAGAGCCTTTTGTTAGAACTCTGTTTTTAAACTAGGAAAAAAAAGAGTACTTGTTCCAAGATGCTTGGCATCAACAGCTCCCACTTCCTTAGTTGCAAAGAGACTGCTAGGCTCTTCTGAAAACACAGTCAATCTCAAAATATAAACTTTTAGGAAGATAATTTAATGCATCAGTTTTCAAAATGTTGTTCATTTTATGTCTGCAATATACTACAGGAGATAACTGAACCATTAGTGGACTGAGGAAAGGAAAAATATCTGTGGTGTGCGCAAGTCAAAAATAAAATTAAAATCTCTAGTCAATCAAGGTTGATGTTTATCTATTAATATTTGTATGTTATTTTAACACTTGAATTATAGAGATACTTACGATTTTACTTTATCATAGTTCTCTTGTCTGTAATCACCTTGCTGAATCATCTGCTTGGTATCAGCCAGTTCCAGTGTTAAACGCTGGCATCTAACCTCAAGCTCTGACCGACTCTTCCTCTCATCTTCATAGCTCTAGAAAGCAGGACATTTTGAAATGATCACAGCTACACTGCTATTTACTTAAAGCAATTACAAACTAAGTTTTGTGAAGATCTCTTATGAATATTTACATGGGAGTATTTTCATTTGTCTCAGTACTAGGAAATTTAGTACACTTCACAAAGTAACCAGCGATACCGATACTCAGCTTATTTTTATCTTATTATAAATAGAATCATAGAATCAACCGTGTTGGAAAAGACCTCTGAGATCATCAAGTCCAACTCTTGATCCTACACTGTTGTGGTTACTAGATCACGGCACTAAGTGCCACATCCAGTCTCCTCTTAAAAGCCTCCAGGGATGGTGAATCCACCACTTCCCTGGGCAGCCCATTCCGATGTCTGATTACTCCCTCTGTAAAAAATTTCTTCCTAATATCCAACCTAAACCTCCCCTGGTAGAGCTTAAGACTGTGCCCTCTTGTCCTACTGCTGGTTGCCTGGGAGAAGAGACTGACACTCACCTGGCTACACCCTCCTGTCAGGTAGCTGTAGGGAGTGACAAGGTCTCTCCTGAGCCTCCTCTTCTCCAGGCTAAACAGCCCCGGTTCCCTCCCTCTCCTCATAGGATTTGTGCTCCAGTCCCTTCACCAGCCTTGTTACTCTTCTCTGGACCTGCTCCAGCACCTCAATATCCTTCCTGAACTGAGGGGCCCAGAACAAGACACAGTACTCCAGGTGTGGCCTCACCAGTGCTGAGCACAAGGGAAGAATCCCTTCCCTGGACCTGTTGGCCACACTGTTCCTGATCCAGGCCAGGATGCCATTGGCCATCTTGGCCACCTGGGCACACTGCTGGCTCATGTTCAGCTTCCTGTCAATCCAAACTCCCAGGTCCCTTTCTGCCTGGTACTTGGTCTTGTTGAACCTCATCCCATTGGAATCAGGCCATCTCTCCAGCTTGTCCAGGTCCCTCTGCAGAGCCCTCCTGCCTTCCAGCAGATCAACACTCACCCCCCAAATTGGTGTCACCTGCAAATTTGCTAATGGTGGACTCAATCCCCTCATCCAGATCATCGGTAAAGATATTAAACAGAACTGGGCCCAACACTGATCCTTGGGGGACACCACTAGTGACTGGCCGCCAACTGGATGCAGCACCGTTCACCACCACTCTCTGGGCCCGGCCCTCCAGCCAGTTCCTGACCCAGCACAGAGTGCCCCTATCCAAGCCGTGGGCTGCCAGCTTTTTCAGGAGAATGCTGTGGGAGACGGTGTCAAAGGCTTTGCTCAAGTCCTGACAGACCACATCCACAGCCTTCCCTCATCCACTAGGCAGGTCACCTGGTTATAAGAGGAGATCAGGTTGGTCAGACAGGACCTGCCTCTCCTAAACTCTTGCTGGCTGGGTCTGATCCCTTGTCCATCCTGTAGGTGTTGTGTGATTGCACTTAGGATGATCTGCTCCATAACCTTGCCAGGCACTGAGGTCAGGCTGACAGGCCTGTAGTTTCCCAGGTCCTCCTTGCAGCCCTTTTTGTGGATCGGCGTGACATTCGCCAACTTCCAATCATCTGGGACCTCCACAGTGAGCCAGGACTGTTGGTAAATGATGAAGAGCAGCTTGGTGAGCTCTTCCAACAGCTCGCTCATCACCCTAGGATGGATCCCATCTGGTCCAATAGACTTGTAAGGATCCAAGCAGGTGGCTAACTGTTTCCTCTTGGATTACAGGGGGGCTATTCAGCTTCCTGTCTCTGTCTCTGTCTACCAGTTCCAGAAGCCAGTTGTCCTGAGGACAACCTGTCTTACTGTTGAAAACTGAGACAAAGAAGGTGTTAAGTACCTCAGCTTTTTCCTCATCCTTGGTGACTATGTTCCTCCCATGCTCAACAAAGAATGGACGTTTTCCTTACCCCTCCTTTTGCTAATGTATTTGTAGAAGCATTTCTTCTTATCCCTAACAGAAGTGGCTAGGTTGAGTTCAAAGTGTGCCTTTGTCTCTCTAATTTTCTTTCTACATGACCTAACTATAATCCTAAATTCTTCCTGAGTAGTCAGGCCTTTTTTCCATAGTTGGTAGGCTCTCTTTTTTCCCCTAATTTCCTTCCAAATCTCCCTGTTCAGCCAGACCAGTCATCTTCCCCACTGGCTTGCCTTTCAGCACGCTGGGACAGCCTGCTCCTGTGCATTCAAGACTTGCTTCCTGGAGCATGTCCATTCCTCCTGGACCCCTTTGTTTTCAAGGGTTGTTTCCCAGGGTACACTCTGAACTAGTCTTCTGAGTAGGCCGAAATCTGCCCTGGGGAAGTCCAGGGTAGAAGTTTTATTGATGGCCCTCTTTGCATCCCTGAGTATTGAAAACTCTATTATTTCATCACTTCCGTGGTCTCCAACCACCACATCTCCCACCAGCCCCTCTTTGTTTGTGAACAGCAGGTCTAGCGGGGCCCCACCCCTGGTAAACTCATTTACCAGCCGGAGCAGGAAGTTATCCTCTATATATAAATACTTGATTAATGTGCCTATTTTTTATAATGCATTTGTCTATTAGCACAACTTCCAAGACACATAACTCTCATATATACAGCCGTTTAGGGCAATAGCCTATATAGACTGTATGACATAAAAACACTCTGATCAACTTCACAGGCATCATCAACTGAAAGACTGACAGAATGCCTTCTTGAAAAAACACACCTAAATACTTGTAGGACACTACAGAAAAGCTCCCTAAGCTACTAAACATACTGTAACTATTCTGTTAATAAAAAAGAATTATTTTTTTTTTTTATATTTCACAAACCTAGTAATTTTCACTTTAACTAAAATCACATTAGGTCACAATCTCAAAAATCACAACAACAAGAAAGACAGTTCTGGATGGTCTATCATTAAAAACACATTATTTAAAGACATGATTGTTACTCATCCTAACATATACTGGTACGTATACGGTTTATTTTTATATTTACCCTAATTAACAGATATACATTCAGCAAATTACCACTATAGAACACTTTCTTCTTAAATCAATTAACATGCTATTATTTATAAAAATGTAACAGTAAAGTATCTGTCAGACATTTTTAAGAGCTGTTGTCCACAAGTTAGCTAGAGTTTCAAACCTGTAACATAATGGTGTTACTACCCTGCTGTGCAGTGCAAACATGATTCACCCTGCAATAGGAAACATCTGTAAGGGCACTTAACATTTAAGTGCAAATCGAAAGATTAAGTTTAGAATAAAATTCTTTTGTGGATATCCTGTGTTATACCGCTGCTAATATCAAGCCAGAATTCATACACTCTTCACTGAGTGGGCTACTGAAGCTCCTACATTATTACACATCTGGAAGCTAGAAGACAACTAGCTAAATTATAAAATTAAATTGGGTAATCTCTGGACAAATTTTTCATAAACAGCTTTAAAGTACCAATTAACAGAACGGTTAAATATCTACAAAATTAGTTCCTTCTAATACCTCCGCCACAAACTTAGGTTTGAATTTTATTTAACAAATCAATTATTAATGTCATGTAACAATATGGTAATGTCGGGGAAAGGAAGTTAAATTCTGCTTTTGAAAAGTGATACTAAGATATACCTTAAGTATGTGGGTTTGTTATGTTTGTTTTTTAAAGATTTAATATAATTCCTGAAGAAACACTAATTATACTGCACAGGTCACTGTTTTTCATCTACCTAATTTTAAGGTGTCAAAGTAGTATTTTAATCACATGAAGAAACATGACAAAGCTAATAGTCGTTCTAGGCTGTAAATAGGCTAACACAAAAAAATCTGTATGGTATGCATAAATCCAGATAGCAGATACACAAGCTTCTGGACTTCCATAGCAATACATCTTAAAGACATACAATCAGGTTGCCTGTGCTTAGGAAGAATAAGGTTTGCTTTGCATGTAATGAAGTTAATTTAGTTTATAACAATGTCCATATATCCTAAACTGATTTTAAGATATCTGCAATGGAACAGCTTTATCTTTCAATTTATCTTCAAGAGCTAGCTTGAAAGTCTTGATGAACAGCTTTGTTCTGCTGAAGTAAAAAAGGGGCTTATAAAAGAACCAAGACACAGAGCCCTTTCAAGTACAGGAATGAGGTCCTGCAAATAAATATTTTTATTAAATAAAAATAACCTAAGTAAGCCCACAAACATCAAAATAATTAAAGGATAAACAGTACTTCCTCACACTGAGTGTGACTGCAATAATAATCTTTGTTACTGCAGAGAGCAGCAACTCAGACTGACGAGATGGTTAAACAAACAAAAAAACAAACCTGTCCTCTGTGAGACAGATAGGCAAACATTGCCCAAAGAAATTCTTGACAGAGCTGTTTAAGAAAACCAGTATTAACCAGTACAGGTACTTTCTACAGAGCATGTGAACCAGTCCCTACCAAGAAGTGCTTCAATTTGGTTTATAAACACTGTCAACACATGGATGTTTCAAGCAAGATTCCAAACAAATGATCTGCACCACTTAAAACCCAAACTGGTAGAGAAACTAAAGACCTAATGGCAGACCTCAGTTTAATGATATTGAGCTTCACTGTTATCCTCAATCTGGAATGAATAGCAGTTTACAGCAGTCACCAAAATGAACATCTACCTCAATTGCAAGTACAAAAACTAGGTGACATATTTTTTGAACAAAGTTAGTGACACCTAATACATGGTAGGGATTAGTTGATCTTTCAAAAAGCCTTCAGGATAAGAAGATTTACAGAAATGCAGGGAAAAGATTAACCAGCTAATCAAGCAGAAGTAGCATGACTTCTTCACACTGTCTACAGATAGCCCTGTGGAAGAAAGTGATCCTGCTTTTAAAAAGCTTTTTTAAAAGGATCTTTATCTTTGAAGAATCACTTACACAGGCCAGCATTTTGTTCATATACTAAGGTACCTAAAGGCCCTAGACAAATACAAAGCTACTGTATGATTGTGATGTGAAAACTAATTCCCTCAAGTTACTTGGATGAGATGCTGCTCCTTGGTAAAGATGACA